TGAGGGAGATATCGCGGCCAGCGGATGTTTGAGTCACCAACGTTTGAATCACTCCTCTGAATTGCAATCATGCTGATGATGATGATGATAACGATGATGATCATGATGATAGGAGTAGTCGCGTTCTGATAATGATGGAGAATGCTTCATTTCAGTAATGTCGGACTACGTCGTTGTTGTAGTAGTCGTAGTAGTAATCGTTGTAGTAGTAGTAGTAGTAGTAGTAGTAGTAGTAGTAGTAGTAGTAGTAGTAGTAGTAGTAGTAGTAGTAGTAGTAGTAGTAGTAGTAGTAGTAGTAGTAGTAGTAGTAGTAGTAGTAGTAGTAGTAGTAGTAGTAGTAGTAGTAGTAGTCGTCGTCGTCGTGGCCGTCGTGGTCGTCGTTGCAGTGGTAGTAGTAGTAGTAGTAGTAGTAGTAGTAGTCGTAGTCGTTGCTGTTGTTGTTGTTGTTGTAGTCGTAGTAGTCGTTGTAGTAGTAGTCGTTGTAGTAGTCGTTGTTGTAGTAGCCGTTGTTGTAGAAACCTGGGTCGCAGTGCTCCTAGTAGTAGAAATCTGGGCCGTAGTGCTCGTAGTTGTAGAAGCCTTAGTCGTAGTGCTCGTAGTAGTAGAAGCCTTAGTCGTAGACTACGACTCGTAGTGCTCATGGTTCTAAAAACCTGGGTCATAGTGCTCGTGGTTGTAGAGGCTTTTGTCGTAGTGCTCCGAGTAGTGGAGGTCGAAGACGTAGTGCTTGAAATCAAAGCCGGAGAGGTGACAGTAGTAGATGATCCGAGTCTCTTCAGACCCTTACCGTCCCTTCCAATCAGATCTAAGTCTCTCTTAAAACAGTTCCGTTTGGCATCACGAATTGCATGGTAGTAATCATTCTTCTTCCTATGCAGCTCCTCAACGGGCAGCTTTCCTTTACGGAATTGCCGACGAGCCGAGTAGAACTGATCCTTGAACGAGCCGAGTAGAACGAGATCACTGGACCACCATGCTTTCTTCTTGGAACCTAAACTGCGCAGCAGAGGGGATGAGACCTCAGCAGCATTAGAGACCAAATCAGATAGTGACCGTGTGGCCATTTCCAACTCGGTTGCAGAGACGATCTTCTTGGGCTCACCCAGGCACGATCGCTTAGTACAAATAGCAGCATCGAACTTAACGAGATCAGAAATCCTATAATTCTCCACCTTTTTGAATGAGGACTTAAAAGAACTCTCTGGTAAGAGTAAGTCGAAAGTAATGAGCACGTGGTCAGTCTGACCACGTGGATAACATCGATACTGCCTCTGAGAGGCAGTATCGATGTTATCCTCTACAACACAATTGGACACCTTGTCAGAGCAGTTCAACGAAGCAAAAGTCACATCAATATGAGTAGCAGCACCAGTACTCTCGATATTGACCGATTGCGACCAAGTTTTTTACACCACAACAAGGAAGACGCATTTGTTTCACAACAGATGATACCCAGAAGAGCCGACTCCACTAGATTTATATCCACATTGATATCTCCGTCAAAAGGTACATATACCGGCGTAGAAGAAGTACCACAGCTGAGACTAATAGAGACAATATTTCGCGAAGCTAGTTCTACCGTATAAGGAATAGAATTATGAACTAGAATACCAGACGGTCTGGTCCAGACCGAAGGTCATCATCAAGACACAATACAGAGTAGCCTTCACACTTCGAAGGAACTAGTTGTTGTTGTACATCACTGACGTTGGTATCCCCTAGGATAGCTGCAAAGATAATTGGCACAGTGAATTGGCACAGCAAATGGGCACGTAAATTGGCACATAGCCAGTACAGACAAAGTGATCCAATAATTCATGCAGAGAAACCCGAGATTTACTCGGGTTCATCTACCAGATAAGTAGGTCAGTACCATCCAAAGTCGAATTATCATCAGAAACGGCATCTCTCGCATCATATCCACCGCCGGCCACGCCGCCGACCCCTACACTTGAGATCATGATGATGCCCGCGGCTGCTGTGATCTGGTCTCCCTTATCAGGACCATCCAACTCCAGACCAAGCAATACTACAGGCTTATCCCTTGACGGGACAGTACTTATACATGGGGGCGGGACGACACTGCTGGCAGATATCGGAGAAGGCGAGTCGCAATCCCCCCGACATTCTTCGCAATCTGCGAGAGGAAGTTGAAACGACCATTAAAAACAAGTTCAAATACCTTGAGCCACATGGCATCCCGGTAATCGGGCATGTTGACGATGCTGGCAGCATCATGCTGCAGTGGCTGCCCTTCGAATGAACCAGAAGTCGGAAAAAGCTGCTCCGAGATATCTCGATCTCGTCTCGATGTATGTTCCGCGTCACTAATTCTCGATCGTGGGATCTCGGAGGATTTTCTCGTCATCTCGATCTCGTTCTCGATTCTCGAATCGGGCGAGCGCGCCTTTGCCGGTGTGGCCGAACTCGCCAAATTTCCAAAACATATGAAAGTGTTTTCACTATCCGGGTTGAGTCTGCTCGTAATTCGTCTCTCCCTCTGATTCAGTCTGTAAAGTGACTTCGACGAGCGGCTCTTTACGAATCAAATCGTCGTCAAGCTCCATTGAAGGCAGTGCTGTGGTGACTGATCATGCTGGGGATGGTCCTAAGAGCCCGGTCGCCAAAAAGAGAAAGTTCTCGTTCGCTGACTGGAAGCAAGGCAGGCCCCAAGGGGGTAAATAGCTAGATGCAGCGAGGTTCGCGCCTTTGTTGGAGGGCAGGAAGAAATTATTCCGAAGAATACCCGATCCGAAATCTAGAAAACGCCTGGAACCGAGTTCAGAAGGATCTGCCGCATTGGCGAGAACAAACCTTTCCGCACAACCGGCACGCAGTGGGAAGCTTTTTTGCTGAGCATAAAGATTCTATCTTATGGAAATAAGAATAGTCATTCAATGTGGGTCATTTAAGATCAAAGTGGTGTTATATCGATATTCCTGACCTCCGGCTCAAACCATGCCTACCAACGCATACAAAAGTTCGAGAAGTTCGAGAACTCGTTCGATTCTCGTCTCGATCTTGATTCCTGAGAAAACCTCTCGATCTCGTCTCGAAACTCTTCGAGACCGAGACGAGATCGAGAATCTCGAGCTCTCGGGTCTCGATTCCGACCTCTGATCGATAGTGAGTGTCTGTTTACCTATCGTGTGGTTGGAGGAGGAGTATGCAGGTACAAGCTACAAGATTTGGATCAAGGTGCTCATGCGTTGCGGAAGTATTCATGGAAACATGATACTGGTAGTAAGGGAAAAACAAGGAAGTTATCTGGCCTAAATAGACTTCTTGTGAGGTTATTCCTGGGTAGAACTTTGGTCAGTGAGTGGTTGCTCGATAGTACTATTAGTAGTGGTTGTCAATATATGGGATTTTGCTGGCCCTTGCTTTCTACTATAGTAGGTCTCCCGAAGACTCTGTATGATCTTGTGGATGCTATGCGCAGTGGTATCAAATCGAAGTTGCTACTACACGGTGCTGAGTTGAGCGCTGGTAGTGAGGAAGTGGTCAGTAGTCATGGTTAGTGTATTTGATTTAGTTAAGTCGTATATGGCGGATGTGCATCGGGACTATTGGCAAGGTGTTGGCAGGGCGATCAAGCACTCTTCTATAGGGTGGTTATAGGATGTTATGGGAAATGCC